AATGGACATGGAAAGTCGACGTATACGTAAAGCGATTGAAAGAACGGAACTGTAATTCGTTCACATTTCCACATTTCCACATTTTGGTGCATCTTATTTTTTTTATTTAACTCTTTCCACATTCACGGCAAGTGAAAGAACTTTTAGAGCTTGTTTTCTGAATTATTTTTACTGAGAGATTATTTTTCGGTCTCTGTGCAATGAAAGACGTTTTCTCCACTTGTGAAACCATGATGTTTCTCCTCCACTTCATTCGCTTCTTTGCTTTCCTCTTTCTGCAGCATCAGGTCTAAAATAAATCTATTGAAATGTCAAAAATCCATTCAAGATAGAAAGTTGAAACAAAAATAGAGTTGATGCCCATTTTAAAGCCACAAACCAACAGATATTAAACAATTAAAGGCTTATGCTGTAATTCTAATGTTGTTTTTAATGTGTCGCACAAGCACGTTTGAGTTTCCACAAGAACATAAAAAACACACTTCTTGTCTTGAAATCAGTTAAGACTTTCTTGTACCATTTAAGACTTTTTATGGCCTTCAATTTGCTATAACTAAATGTATAGCTTTTGTAGAATATTTATTTAATACAGTGAAGACTATTTTTTATTTTATATTAGATGACTTTTTTCAATGTCTGTACTTGAATACTATAGCTAGACATATCTGAAAAAAAATGGTGTCCTTGTTCTGTTTGTCGTATTGCTTGTAATGAGCTTATTTTAATATTATTTACGATTTACTTGTTCAGATAATTAAGTTTTTTATTTATGAGACTAGGTGTTATTTTTGACAGCAAATTTAGCTTTAGTCTTTTGACTAGAATGCTATTTAGTTTTAGTCACATTTTAGTCATCTGAATTGTTTTAATTTTAGTCGACTAAATATCATAATATCTTAGCCGACTAAATCGACTTGGTTTAATTATAATGTAATGCATTCATTAAACATTTTCCTTTAAAAAAAAACAAAAAACAGGGACAATCTCTTAGATATGTTCCATCCTAACTTAACATTTTAATGGGAAATACATAATCACATCAAGAAAAACTGAGCTCATCGATCAACTTTAATTAGGTCAATCATATGACTCAATTCCTCAACTAATGTCAGTTTATATGACCATAAACATTTTCAAGAATATTATTAATATCTTCAGAGGAAAAACTGTGTAATGGGAACAGAAACCAACCTATTTTCTCCTCAGTATCTTCTTCTTTCACTCTGCATGGATCTGGAATTACCATTTCTTCATTCTGTTCTTTAATAAACTCCATGTTTGTAATATTATGTCACACTGATCTCAGTTGTTCCACCTTGAGTTTTTCTATTTGTTAGCACGCTTCGCCATGTTTAGGATGATGAGAATAATAAACTGAAAAAATAAACACACAGTGAGTTTTTCTGAAACTTGTGTAGATGCGCTTTACACATCGTTTATACACTCATTAATGTGGCGCCATTCACATAAAACATTACATTCAAGAGATTTACATTCAACATTACAAATGTGTGCATATTTATAAAGACAAATGTATAAAGAAATAATAAATACATAAATGTTATTTTCAGATAAAGTACTGCATAGAGATACAGTATAATGCAAATAGTGAACTCAGTGAAAAATGTAAATGATTAAATATGGCTCATTTCCACCGAGTTCAGTACAGTACACTGATCTGCATGACATTGTGTGTATGTGTGTGAAAGTGTAAAATTATAATAAAATACGTTATTTTTTTGTGTTTGCGCACTCTGTACCAGAATGATGGGAAGAAAAGAGTCTGGAGAAGGCTTGGAGCAGCTCATGATCAAAGCACACACATCATCTGTGAAACATGGAGCAGTGTGATGCATGAGCGTGCATGGCTTCAGTGGCACTGGGTTACTGGTGTTTAGTGATGATGAGACAGAAGCAGCCGGATGAACTATGAAGTGTATAGAGACATACTCTCTGCCCAGATTCAGTCAAATGCAGCAAAGCTGATTGAGCGGTGCTTCATAGTACAAATGGACGATGACCCAAAACACAGCAAAAGCAACCCAGGAGTTTTTAAAAGTGGAATATTCTGCAATGGCCGAGTCAATCTCCTGATCTCAACCCGACTGAGCTGCATTTCACTCGCTGAAGACCAAACTAAAGGCAGAAAACCCCCAAAACAAACAACAACTGAAGTCAGCTGCAGTAAAGGCCTGGCGAAGCATCACAAAAGAAGAAACCCAGTCTCTGCTGATGTCCTTGAGTTCCAGACTTAAGGCAGTCATTGCCTGCAAAGGATTCTCAACAAAATATTAAAAATGAACATTTTATTTATGATTATATTTATTTGTCCAATTATTACATTTGAGCCCCTGAAATTGTGCATAAAAATGGTTGTAATTCCTAAGCATTTTATGTTATATTTTTGTTCTATACCGTGAATTAAAGCTTAATTTTAAGGCCAATTTAAGTCTTATTTTAACGTACCAATGTGGTTATATCTAAGTGTGTGACTTACTTTTTTAAATTAGTCTTCCCATTAACACCATTATATTGTCCATTCAGACTGATTCACAAAGAACACAAGAGGCGGGATTTATCGCACTCGCAGGCACAGCTTAACATAACCAGTCATATCCAATCATATCACGATGGAGGCATTGCCTCCTCTGATGTGACTTTTCCCCATTCATTCTCCATTACCCCCCACCAAACTCAAAGCATGCTTTAAGGGGGTCTGTTTAAACTCAATGGGCTCAGGGGAGGCGAGAGAGACGCGGACTCCCGCTGTAACTTTACCTGCTGGTGTCGCTGTTGGACAGTGTTTCTTTAAAAACACATGTGATTTATATGCTTTTTAATGTTATATTTTGTAACACTGGTGTTGTTTTATTTTTGTACTACGAATTCTTTTCTCATCCAATTTTTGAGAAGACACTGCCTCCCTTTAGGTAACACCCCTGATATATATATATATATAAATGACTTTGGAAAACAGGTAATCTTTCAGTGTTGATCAGGGGTGCCCAAACTTTTGTATGTCTTTTGCAAACGTACAAGGCTGTGATCTTAACAGCTTTAGAGAGGGAAACAACTACAATCCCATGAAGCATTGCAAATGACAATCAAATTAAAAATGACAGAGAAATATAAAACTCTTAATTTAAAGTTGTTAGTTGTATGTTTAAAAACCAGCATATTTGCAATAGGTTTATTGCAAAATACGCAAATATATACAAATATGTAAGTATTTTGAGAGTGTAGGGAGACCAACTTGATTACATTTGCTGCGCTTCATAAGAGTGGGTGGAGCATAAGATATTATTTGGTGCAACTCTCTGATTGGTGGAATTTGCTTTGCAGCAGTATGGCTAATGTAGTTTTTCACCTCAAATTCTGCTATTAAACAATTAATTAAAAAATAAGTTAAATAAACACCAACAAAAGGGTTCAATAAAAGCATACGATCTATTAACAAACTCAGAGCTCACAACAGGTCTCTCTTTAGAGGTGTATTAGTTACTGTTTAAAATAAATTTTCCTCAAATCAAATCAAATTAATGGAATTTTTACTTAAGGAACTTAAGGAACAGACTGATGACCTCTATTAAACCGACAAGAATTTATTATTTTTATTACTGTCAACTTATACAAACAAAACAAAATATATAAGAAGATATAAAATAAATCCAAAGTTCTACCATGAAACTCTAGAAGGCGCAGGCCGATAGGTCGATAACTCTAATCTAACACAATCACATTATTATTCACATGGCGCAGCTGATTGGTTTATTTCCTCAACAACAGCCAATGAGCTTGCTGCTCAGCATTCAAATACTCGGCTAGTGCTTGCTAAACCCTCCACCTTCCCCAGCTCCACCTGTATAGATCTGCTACAGGGTGATATACTGTATACAGGGGTTATTTCATATATGTTATATGTGCAGCAGCAGTATTTCTTACATGCTCACAGCAGCATGTGTGGAAGTATTGATTGTAGTAAGTCTCTGTACTTGCTCTGCTGCAGCAGCAGTGTAGCAGATCTATTCCGTCAAGACCAAACACATTGCCATTGTGATGTATCTCGTCACGACAGAACTAATCATAAATTAAATGTGTACTGTGCAATCTGCATTCTTTCCATTTATTTCATTTTATATATATATACTGTATATATAAATATATAAACTGAACAAAATTATAAACGCACAGCCATTGAAGAGGAGTGGACCAACATTCCACAGGCCACAATCAACAACCTGATCAACTCTATGCGAAGGAGATGTGTTGCACTGCGTGAGGCAAATGGTGGTCACACCAGATACTGACTGATACGGACCCCCCAATACAGTAAAACTGCACATTTTAGAGGCCTTTTATTGTGACCAGCCTAAGGCACACCTGTGCAATAAACATGCTGTCTAATCAGCATCTTGATATAAAAGTATGTAGGAACTTTGAAATGAGTAATCTGAGAACGCTGTCATGTAAACTCATCTGACAGAGAGGACCTGAAGGCATGATCCTTGGATTCCTTGGAGAAGAATACTGTATGTAAACCAGGATTTTGGATCAACTGTGAAGATTTTGTATGGAGCTGGTGAGTACATTTTTGCAAGCCCATGTCTCTGTCAGTAAGTAGATAGTGTTTTATTAAACAAATTGATATGAATGTGTTTGTGTGACTAACACAGATTTAGACAGATTTGTGAACAATATTTGAGAGAAATAGGCCTTTTGTGTACATAGAAAAAGTCTTAGATCTTTGAGTTCAGCTCATGAAAAATGGGGGCAAAAACAAAAGTGTTGCGTTTATAATTTTGTTCAGTGTATATTTCTTTCCATTCATTCACCTAATTCCATTTTAAATACAACTTTTTATTTATTTTGACATGTTTATTTTCTTTCTCATGCTATTACTATTGTGTATGAGATGTGCTACCTAATTAACCTTGCCTAATTAATTTCGTACAAATGCTAATCCACAATCCAAAATGAATAGAAAAACATCCCTTCAAACATTGTGGTACTGCACAGTAAGAAAACGTTTATTAAACATATTTTGACCTCTTCCTCCGTAGAACTTGCATCAAATGACTTTTGGGAGAAATTCCATCTTTCGGTGCGTCTTAGTTTAACTCCGTTCACCTGAAGACGAGCTTTGCTATTTATGCCTACTTCAGACAGTGCCTTTTCTTATGAGCCAGCAGATAAATTGTTGTGCTGAAGTTCATCCCACATGAAGCGCAGCTGTATAGCTTCTCTCCAGGATGCACCCCTTCTGTTTTTGACGTTTCTGAAGTAGTCAAAGACTTTGCAATATTGGAATCCTTGTCTGTTTTTTCTCCGGTATGGGTTTGTTGCTGCTGTTTCAAGTGGCTCGCTCTGGCACAAGCATTCACACCAGCATGCATTTTCTGGTGTGATTTCAAATTGCCAAGCCATTTAAAATCCTTTCCGCACAAAGAACACAAATAAGTTCTCTCGCCAGTGTGGCTTCTCATATGTATCTCTAAGTGGGACTGAAAAAGAAACTTTTTATTGCAGTGATCGCAGTTAAACAGCCTTTCTGCGGGGTGAATGCGCAGATGATTTAAGAAGTTGATCTTGTCTGCAAACCTCTTGCCACACTCCGAACACTGCAGAACGAACTCAGAATGAATATGCAAATGAATTTTCAGGTCTCTCTGATAAGCGAAACTCTTTCCACACTGAAGACACGTGTAAGGCGTCTCCCGAGTGTGAAATCTTATGTGACTCTTAAGATTTCCTTTATGTGTGAAACCCTTTCCACACTGAGGGCAAACGAACGGTCGCTCTCCAGTGTGAAGTCGGACGTGAACATTAAGGTTTCCTTTTTGAGCGTAACTCTTTCCGCAGTGATTGCACGTGTAAGGCTTTTCTCCGGTGTGGACTCTCATGTGACTCTTAAGGTTTTTATTTAATCTGAACCTGCTTCCACACTGCTGGCATTTGAAAGGCTTTTCTCCGGTGTGAGTTATTACGTGTCTGTTAAGGTGTTCCATGTCTGTGAAACTCATCCCACACTTATGGCATATAAAACGGTTATCTCTAGAGTGAATTCTTATGTGGCAATTAAGGGATTGTTTCTGTGAGAAACCTTTTCCACACTGAGGGCATGCGAAAGGCTTCTCTCCAGAATGGATTTTCATGTGTTGATTAAGGTTTCCTTTCAGTGAGAAGCTCTTTCCACAATTTTTGCAGGTGAAAGGGCTCTCGCCGGTGTGAGTTCTCATGTGGCTTTTAAGGTTTCCTTTCTGAGTGAAACGTTTTCCACACTGTTGGCATGTGAAAGGGCTCTCGCCGGTGTGAATTCGCATGTGGCTTTTAAGGTTTCCTTTTTGTTTAAAACTCTTTCCGCACTGCTGACAGGTGAATGGGCTCTCGCCACTATGAATTCTCATGTGGCTATGAAGGTGTCCTTTACGCAAGAAACACTTTCCACACTGAGAGCAAGTGAAACTACTTTTAGATCTTGTTTTCAGAGTTCTTTTTTGTTTTTGGGAGGAATTCTTTTCTGTCTCCGTGCATCTAAAGGATTTTTCTCCACTGGTGAAATCATGATGTTTCTCCTCCACTTCATTCATTTCTTGACTTTCCTCTTTCAGCGGCACCAGGTCTAAAATTAACATATTAAATGATCAAAAATCAATTTGAGACACAAAAAACTGGGGATCATGCCACAAAGCAACAGCCATTAAATACCATGCCGTAATTACCGTATATATAATATTCCGAGATGACAACATGTGACATTCTACTTGGAGCTGAATTATGTGTTTCTATGGCAACACTATCAACTCCAAAGCCTCCAGAACTCATTTAGTCATTTAGCAGACGCTTTTATCCAAAGCGACTTACAACGGAATAAGGACAACAGAAGCAATCAAAACCAACAAAAGAGCAATGATATGCAAGTGCTATAACAAGTCTCGGTTAGCCTAACGCAGCACACGTAGTTTTAAAAAATAAATAAATAAAAAGAAAATAAGTAGATAGAAATAGAAAACGAATAGAGAACATTAGTGTTAGAGGGTCTCATTTAAAAAAGAAGAAAAGAAAAGAAAGACAAGTCGAAAGAATAGAAAAAAATTGAGAACGTTATTGTTAGAGGATCATTTTTTAAATAAAAAGAAAACAAGTACATGGAATAGAAAAGTAATTGAAAATACTACACTCTAAAAAATGCTGGGTTGTTTCAACCCAACTTTGGGTCAAATATGGACTAACCCAACCATTGGGTTAAATTTTTGAATTAAATTTTTAACCCGAAAGTTGGGTTAGTCCATATTTGACCCAAAGTTTGGTTGAAACAACCCAGCATTGTGTTAGAGGCTCTATTTTTTTTAATAAAAAGAAAGCAAGTATTAATCAATTAAGTGAGTGTAATTACTTACAAGAACTCAATTCAACTTTTTACAACTTTTTGTATTCTGAGAGCTACGACTTGGACCATGTGACAGTTGTATCAGATTAATTTAGGCGCTAACTCCGAGTCCGAGGACATGGAAAGTGATGAGTTAAATGTCACGTGTCGTCATCTCTGAATTACGGTAATTTCGTCATGGCGTGAACTAAAAATTCGGCTAAAAACACATCTCTTCCATCTTTATTTGACCCTCTAACTCTAGCACTCTCTATTCTAATTCTATTCTTTATTTTTTTTTTTATTGCACTCTATACTGTTTGTTTTCTTTAAAAAAAATAACACTAGCTTCTCTATTCTTTTTCTATTCTATCTGTTTTCCTTTTATTTATTATATAATTTTAAAAAACCTTGCTATGTGTACTACGTTAGGCTAACTGAGACTTGTTATAGCATTGCACTTTTGTTGATTTTGATTGCTTCTGTTGTCCTCGTTTGTAAGTCGCTTTGGATAAAAGCGTCTGCTAAATGACTAAGGCCTGGTTTCACAGACAGGGCTTACACTAAGCCAGGATTAGGCCATAGTTCAATTAGAACATGCAAGCAATTTTTATAAACGTGTCTTAGAAAAACCATTACTGGTGTGCATCTTGAGACAAAACAAAGGCACTGATATGTTTTAAGATCAATCAGTGCAAGTTTCTTTCAGTTGAAACAGCTCAGATTTACATTTTAGTCTAGGACTAGGCTTAAGCCTTGTCTGTGAAACCGGGGGTAACTGTAATGTAATATAATGTGAACACAGCAGACTCGATTCAGTTCATGGCTCTCTCTCCTAACGAGCGGAGACTCATGCTCTCACAGTGAGAGCAGCTTGATTCAGTGAGCTTTGGCCAAAACAGGAGACACTCAAAGAGCCTCCGAGGGAAAGAGAAAATCACTCACTGCTCCACTGATTAGCTTTTGTAGCATCATAAGGTGAAGAGTATTTTTTTATTCAACGACTGTAGTATTTATTACTTGAATACTATGTTAGATAGGGCTGCACGATTAATCGAATGCGATTGTCATGTGCAATGTAAATCATCATCACGTGCTTTCAGATGGAGCAGCATTTACTACACATAGCCGTAGTTCACTGACAAGTTACGTGCAAAAAAAACGCAGACGATTTTATCGCGCGATTCTGAAATCAAAGAAATCGTTTGCGATAGACATATCTGAAAAAACTTAAAACACAATTTCATGTGTCTTTGTTCCGTTATGTTTATTTGTCTTATTGCTCGTAAGTTCTTCTTATTTTAACATTCACGATTGTTTATGCATTTACGTAATAAGTTTTACTTATGAAGCTAGGTTTTGATTTAGATTAGTTATGGCCTTGATTAAAATGCCACCTAGTTTTAGTCATATTTTAGTAACCTGAATTGTTTTAGAATACTAAATATCATAAGATTTTAGTCGACTGGTTTAGTTAAATTGTAATGCATCACCGAAATAAGAACAGGAGCAGTTTGCAAAAATAATGCACTGAATTGAGATGCAATTTATGGAATATCTTCACCCTCTGAATGTTTGCTAGACAGTTTAAATCCATGCAACTTCAGTAATAAAATAAACTCAGCAAATAGCTTTGCTGTTTTAATCATTTAATACGTTTAAATGAAGACCAGAAAAATGATGGTTCATGAAAACTGAACTTTATAACTCTAATGTCAGTCTAATGTCAGTTTATATGACTGTAAACATTTTCAAAAATATTATTAATAGAGGAAAAACTGTGTAATGGGAATAGAAACCAACCTATTTTCTCCTCAGTATTTTCTTCTTTCACTCTGCATGGATCTGGAATTACCATTTCTTCATTCTCTTCTTTAATAAACTCCATGTTTGTAATATTATGTCACACTGATCTGTTGTTCCACCTTAAATTTCTCTATTTGTTAGCACGCGTCACCATGTTTAGGATGATGAGAATAATAAACTGAAAATTAAATAATAAATAAAATAAGTAATTAAAAAAATAGTCTTTCTGCAACTCGACTTACACATCGTTTATACAGTCATTAATGCAGCTCCATTACATTTAACACTCTACCTTAATTTGCAATACGTTTCTAAAAAAATGAAAAATGCTCTAAATCAGTTTAAACGCCTTAAATACTGATGGGTTCAAGTCCACAAACCTCTCGCCGAATCCCTGCACACACCGGCGCGGAATTATGACGTCAACACGCATCAAAATAAAAGTCTTGTTCGTTCGCTGTTTCCATATTATATTGAGAATTAAATATACGGACACGGGATAATTTTATATGGTGAAATTAAAATTAAAATACACATGTCGTACAACGATGTGAAAATACTACCAAGCGGGACTCCACTCAGAATATATATTTACACTGTTTATGTAAGTATAATTAAAATTACGTTTTGTGGTATTGAAATCAATAATTTGTTAATTGCATTATTATTATTAGTAGTAGTAGTAGTAGTAGTAGTAGTATCCCGTAACATATGAACATGACTTTTATTGTGATGTGTGTTGTGTGATGCGTCATAATGCTGCGCCAGACTAGTTTGTTGTTGTTTTGAACCCATCAGTATTGACGGTGTTAGAGCGCTCAGATGGATTTAAAGTGTTTACAGATGTACTACAGCACAACAGTAAGTACTACACATGTGATTACACTAATAATGCGCTTTAAAACGTGAAAACTGAAATGAAAGTAGAATGACTGTATGCTATAATGGGGTTCTGTGAAATGAGTAACAGAGAGATTTATTCTGCATTTATTTATTTCAGGTAATTATTCATCTTAAACATGAGCAAACCAGTAGGAAAAACTCCAAGTGAAACAGCTGAGAGATCTACTTAACACAATATTATAAGCATGGAGTTTATTAAAGAAGAGAGTGAAGACACCAGTGATCTAGAAGCAAGCGAAATAAAGGATGCTGAGCAACAAACAGGTTTGATTCATGACTAATGACTAATGTAGAATGAAATGCCTTAAATGCCCAGTATGTGCTGGGATTGCTCTTACCCTCTGGTTATGAGTTACAGACATTATTCCTGTAGGTTAAGTTTGTCACATGTTCCTAAGCTGCCTAAACTTAAAAGTTTACAACAAATAGGAAGTTCTGATAATCTGTTTGACTTGGAGGAATGTGTAGAGGCCTTTTCAAAGCTGCGTTTACAGACTCTTGAAGAAAAAAAAAAAAAAAA